CGCGGAGAACGCAGCGGCGGTAGTGGCGGCGGCTGAGGAAAGCGAGCCGGGCTCGGGGCGCCGGCTGAGGCCCGGCCGAGGACGCGAGTCGCTGCAGCTGCCTGAGCGCCCCACAGAGCCTGACCGCGGCCTTCGGCTGCGGGGCTCGGTGGCGGCCTAAGCTGGGCAGGGACGCCCGCTGGCGGTGCCTTCGCACTCGCACACACACGCTCGCACCGGGGAGGACTAGGGACAGACGTCCGGCGAGATCGGTGTGGAGATTAAGAACAAGGAGCTGAGAGTGCGAGAAAGAGGGTGATTGACGTGGAGGGCCGGGCCGGTGTCGGTTGCTCCCGGGGCAGAGGGGAGGGGCGGGGCAGAGGGGAGGGGGCGGGGCCCGGAGTCTTGGCTTGACCCCGCCCCTCGCAACTAGGTTCCCGGTGGTGCGCTTGCGCGCTGGGAGGCGTCGGCCGCTGTTTGTTTTTGCAGTCTTCCTGGCTGTTTTCTTAGCTCTTTTCCTTGCTTGAGCAGCAAAAAGCTCAGAAGATTGGTTGGGTGTCAAAATCCCGCGTCCAAGGCGTCTTCCGCAGGGGAGGACACTTGCGAGGACACGTCGCCGGGTCCTGCCCAGGCTGGGCGCTGTGCAATGCGCGCACGCGCCAGGCTACTCGTCCGGGAACCCGGAGCAGCTCCGGGACCCACAAGAGCCGGGGGTGAGGAACGTGGCCGAGGGTGTGCTCCCGGCGCCTGCGGCAGGGTTCCTAAAGAGTGACACCTGTGGCCGCGTGTGGAGGTAAATAGAAAATCCTGTGACCGGCTGCGTGGCCCCATCCTGTTCCAGTTCCCCTTCTCGCGATTAAATTACAATTCCGCCGTTGGAGCCAGCCACTGAATGAAAACATTGAAACTTAAACAGTTGTGGTTTTCTGTGTGAATTTAGCCTTGACATTTTAAGTTTCTAGGGTTTAGTTTTTTCTTTTGTGGGACAGTTTCAGTCCAAAAAAGCAAACGACCCGGGTTCCAGAGGCCGTTTTCACAATTTCCGCCTCCCAGTGAGCGCTCTGGGCTCGGCTACTTTCGTGGAGGTCAAGGGTGTCTCGGCGCGATCGCTGTGTTTCCCCCGCGGGAATATTTATTGTTTAGCACACTAAGCGCCTTGTGCTAACTGCAATTATCTTAACCCTATTACTGCAGGTAAAATGCTGTTATCGCTGAAGGGGCAGAAAGGTGCAAATGCACGTCATCATTGGGTCAAAACTAAACAGCTATTAGAAGAGTCCTCCACTGCAAAACAGCTGCAGCAGTGTGTTACCAGAAAGTGTGAGTGAAGCCCCTCGGGACCAAAAGACTGCTAGCTACTTTGCTTTCCTCCTGGGTTGTTTCCACTTCCCTCCCCAGCAGCTCCACCCCCCACCATCACATTTTGTAAAAGGTGTTAAGGGCCTTAACCCTGAAAGACGTGCTTACTTCTCCCCAACTGTTTAGTCAAGGCTGATAAATAATGAACGTAAGCAAAAAAAAAAAAAACAAATCACTTACAAGTCGTGAACCTGCCCCCATAACATCTTACCGAAGCATTTTTCCTTGAAACAAACTCCCCCAGTGGAAACACTATCGAATGATGAAGGAAAAAAAGAAATAAAAACCTTAAAAACAAAATGTGTAAAGCGGTTGCCTAGCATGAGCAAGGCCCTGGGTTCCATCCCCGGCACTGCAAAAATAAAAATCAAAATTAAAGTGAGTTAATATGTTAACCTCACAGACTTAAATTCAAATACCTGTAGATGGAGATTTCCAGCTCTTAACTGATTTACAGTAACACATTATGTATTATGTTCCAGACACTATTTTGCCCTGGAGACATACTTAAAAATCATCCATGTAGGGGAAGCTGACACATAAACAGGAAATTTTACAAAACCAGAAACGAAAGTATGAAAGGTAACACAAAATAGTCATTAACAATATCTCAGAGGATAGACTGGTAACTCTGGCATTTTTACTTGAGCCATTTGATATCAGCTCATTATTACAAGCTACTTAGCACTAAGACAGGAGGAGAGGGTCATTGTTTATGTTAAAGAAGAACTGAAGTGAGGTTTGCTGGCCCCAAAGGTCAGATTTATATATAGGATATTCATTGTTGGCCTTTAAATTTTAAATAGTAGGGGCCGGGGAGATGGCTCAGTTGGAGTAAGTGCTTCCCTGACAAGCGCAAGGGCCTGAGTTCAATCCCTGGTTCCACCAAAAAAATAAAATAAAGAAAAAAAAAATTTTTTAAATAGTAAACCTATGTCAGAGCCAGCGAGATAGCTCAGGGGACTAAGCGCCTGTGTAGGCAAGCTCAGGGATTGGCGTTCAATTGCCAGCACCACAAGCCACGCTGACATATACCCCACCCCTGCATGCTGAGTCAGTGACCAAGTCCAGGCACTGTGGCACATGCCTGTAATCTCAGCACTGGGGAGGCTGAAAACAGGAGAATCACTGAGTCTGAGCTGAAAGTGAGACTCTGTACCAAATACATTAAAAAAAAAAACAAAAAAAAAAAAACCCTCAGTCCATGAAGAAAAAAGTAAGTGTAACATTTAGAATAATATTATTGCTACAAAAAAATTAATTGAATTCAGGTTAAGTTTAAATCTACTCAGATTTTTTTTAATACCTAATCAAACTAGTAGACTCATCCAAAAAACTTTTCTCATTTGCAGTCATATTGACAATGAGAAAAAATCATTTTGAAACAGTTGGCAATGAAAAAATATAGAGAAATTAAATCTTCAATAATTGTTAATTTCCTCATAAAATTCAAAACAGCAATAGAACAGTAATATTTAGCCTCCCTCCTAGACCCACACACTCACTACCTGAGATAGATAGAACCTAGAATTTGACAGAATCAATATCCTGTAGAACTGCATCCCCAGCCCTAGCCATGCTTAAAAAAGACAGCTTTATAGTAAATCAAAGTTTGCAACAAAACTGGCAACAGAATCTACTTGTGAGGTCATTTCTGAAGATTTTTCTTCTTTGTCAGATAATGCAATTTTCTTTATAAATTAAAATGTAATAGAAAATTTCTTTAATGTGAATAGTGCTGCAATAAACATGGGAGTGCCTATCTTTCTTTAGCATACTGATTTTGTGTCTTTTGAATATACACTTGGTAGTGGGCTTGCTACATAATATAGACTTCTTTTTTTAGACATCTCTTTACTGTTTTCCATAATGGCTCTACTAATTTACATTACCACCGAAAGTGTACAAAGATTCCTTTTTCTCCACATTTGTCACCCACATTTGTTATAGCCATTCTCACTGGAATGAAATGGCATCTCGTTGTGATTTAATTTGTATTGTACTGATAACTAATGATATTTAAGGTGATAAATATGTAAATTACACACAAGTGATCATTGCACAAATACATATAATGTATCCCATAAATATACATAATTATATCAAAAATTATAAAAGGAAAAATCTCCTTAAAGAAATGATATATTTCCCTTCTGGGTATTTTTCCAGAGGAATTGAAAACAGCATACCAGAGTGATATATGTACACTTATGTTTATAACAGCACAATTTGTCATAGCTAAATCTTGGAAACAATCCAAATCCATCAACTGAGGAATGGATAAAAAAGTTGCAGAATTTTTATACAAAGAAGTATTACTCAGCTATAAACTCAAGACTTTTATAGGTAATTGGATGCAATTAGAGACTGTACTCATAAGTGAAATAAATCAGACCCACATGTGTAAACATATTGTCTCCCTACTGTGAAGAAACTGAAAGAGTAAATAAAATACAAAGACACAATAGATATTGTAAAAGGGAAAGAAACTGCTCAAAAGGCAAGAACAACTGGGATGAGGTAATTTACACACAAGATAGCTAAAATAGATGTACTACTAATTTCTATACTTAAAGGAACAGTTAGTGCTTAATTTTTTATCAGTTTTGCATACTTATATCTATCTGGTAATCTGAGGTAATCTGAACAACTACTTTGAAGACAACATTATGTAATATAACCATTGTTGATTTTCTATCTTGTTTTGAAATTGTGTATCATTTTAATGTTTTATGTATTCTCTTCTAAAATGAAATGACATATCTAATTGAAACTTCTGGCTTAAGTAAGGCCAGGTTTCACCCAGTTGGTTTAATAGTAGCAATATGTAAGTACAATATGTTATGAATATCTGTATTACTATAAAGTTCATTTATTCTTTCTCATTTAAAAAAAATGTACTGGAGGGGCTGGTGAGATGGCTCAGTGGTCTAAAGCACCTACTTAGAACAAGCTTGGCAAAGCACGGGGACCACGGTTCAATCCCCCAGCACCACATGCCAGCCAGCCCCGCCCCCTGGTGGGCTGAGCTGCACACACACACACACACAAAAACACACACAAATAAATAAATAAATTTAAAAATTTAAAAAATGTACTGGAGGTTCTAGAGACTACTTGTGTAAAATTAGCAATTAATATTTTGTATAAATCTTACCACTCCATGTTTTTCATGGTAGAACAGGTAGGTGGTCTGTAAGATTTCTTATAGTTGTGTTCCCTTAAACCTATGTGAGCTTGCTATGTATCTCAGGCTGTCCTTGAACTCTTGATCTTCCTGCCTCAGCTTCCTAAGTGCTAGGATTATAGGTGTGTGCCATCATGCCAGGCTTCTTTATCACTTCTCAAATTCTGTTGAGCTGCTTGCTCAAATCTCAACTATTTCAATATTTAAGAAAAGTACTACTATTTGGTAAATTAAATTTGATCTTATTTCAGTGCAAACTTGTAATAATAGCTACTTAACATTTTAAGAAAGGTGTCACATTTAAACATTCAAATTTTACTATTTAAGTATAATTAGTAAAATAATGTATTTTTATCCCTTATCTTTTGAGGGGACAGTATTGAAAATGGAACCCAGGCCTTCACACTGAACTGTGTCCCCAGTCCTTTGTTTGTTTGTTTATTTATTTATTTATTTATTTTGGTGGAACCGGGGATTGAACTCAGGCCCTTGCGCTTGCCATGCAAGCACTTACTCTACTGAGCTATCTGCCCAGCCTAGTCCTTTGATTTTTAGTCTGAGATAGTCTCACCAAGTTAACTGAGCTCAAACTTGCCATCCTCCTTCCTCAACCTCCCAAAGTGCTGGGATTTTAGGTGTGTGCTATCACACCCAGCTCCTCATATTAGTGTAATATAACTTTAATTTTATGTACAGTAATAGCATCATCTTGGGCCTGACAGGCCTCCAAACTTTCAGTGACATCTACTGTTTACTGAACTACATCTGTTTCCATTTTTCCATCTTTCCCTCCCCTCGCTCTCCCACTCATGTCCTCCCTTCACCTCTTCCTCTCTCTCTCTCCCCTCCCGCTCAACTCTACTTATCATTTAGAAGCTCATTCCAAAGAAGAGCTTGCTCATTTGCTCGTTGTCTGTGCCCCTCTTTGGGCATTTTTATTCTCTATCATCATTCTTCCCTTTGTTCCTTTCTTCAAAATGCTATTTTGAGGCCAATGATCCTGCCATTATCTTAGCCAGTGATGAATGCATTCTGCCATTATTAATAGTATGCCATAATATATCAGTTCGCCATAAAATGGTAAATAAAGTTGTTCTTAGTCTCCTCCTGCCTCCCACTTCTTTCTACTACTCATCTGAAGTCCCTGAGACTAAAAACGTTTAGATCCTGAGGGAGTTTTCAAAATGATGCTTTGGAAGCCATCTACAGTACACAGAACCAGGTGTATGGAACCTGAACTAGACAGCCTTTTTTTTTTTTTATAGCTATCTTACATATGGCCCATCTAGTTATCTATCCAGTATATCCTTCCTCTTTTCTTCAAACTGTGCTCCTTTTCCCTGAAGAATCTATTCCTGTCTGTGCTATCCACAGGTAGTTACAGGGGTAGATGCAGCTCAGGAGAATCTCTCACCATTGCTCCCAGGGTCAGCATGTGAATCAAACCAAAGCAAACACTTCTTTCCTGAGATAGTTTTAGGTGGAACTGCAGCCATAGAGCCACCAAGGAATTCTGGGTGGCCAGTGAGCACATGCTGCATTATATAGAATGAAAGCATCACAAAGATGACATGCATTGAGAGCAGTTCACAGCAATGAAGCAGGCTCAGGTACCCCTCATCCTTGGAGCCCCAGCTGCCCCTTTTCACATAATGTAGCTAATTTAATTAGTACATGCTCTTCACCTAAACTGAACTGCTGTAACCAAAACAACCTAGTACATAGTGTTCCTGCATGAATTTTTTTTTAAATTAAAACTTATTGCTTCATCAATCACTGAACCAGTCTACAACAAATCCCTATTGTTGGTTGAATCATAATCTACCAAGCATTGGAGATCACCTTGTCCCACATTATTTTCCACTTGAAAAACTAAAGCAAAGTGACTTGCTGAACATCACCCAAGTAATCAGTGGCACTCAGTGTTAGAAGCTGGTCTCTAAATACCTAGTTAAGTTTTTCTGTTCGTTATGCTGCTCTGCCTAATTCCTCCCAAAGGTATTTTCAAGAGGCAATTATCTAGAAATACAATCTTAACCTAAAAGACTACATCACGACAATGGCAATTTCAGG